GATAGTATTTGCCTATAATTTTATTAAGCAAAGGGTTAAGTCAAGTTTGAATATTAACTTAAGAAAATTTAAGTTAAGTCTTTATTTAATTACCATCATAGACTCACAATCTATGTGGTTGTGGTCTAGGCAATCCATCCTGAAGAATCCTATAATTATTTGCAGACCCCTCCCAACCTGGTAGAATATATGTGAACAGCTTGTTTAGGGTGCAAGCTGCAAGCACATTCTGTGTAACACCTTTGCGGCCTCGAAAGCGTGTAACAAGATTAATCGGAAGTATTGCATCAACATGAGTCTCATCTATCATTCCAATGCAATCCTATAATACGTGTATCACACACCTAAATTAAAATTAACTTCCATTGATCATCTATCATTCCAATGCAATCCTATAATACGTGTATCACACACCTAAATTAAAATTAACTTCCATTGATTATACATTTAAATGTGCTTAAAGTGTAATACGTGTATCACACACCTAAATTAAAATTAACTTCCATTGATTATACATTTAAATGTGCTTAAAGTGTAGATATACCTTGAAATAAGAGTAGTATAGCGGGTTGTTGATGATCTCTTGGGGAATGTTATTAGGGGCTTGTCTCATGTACCGTCCACGCATGCAAATAATTGCTTGTAATACATTGTTGAAATATCTACTAACTGTCTCCCCTGATCTTATAAAATAAGATCTGACAATGCGATTTTTAGATTTATGACCCAGAATGTTCAGTGTCATGATAAGTTATTCTTCCACTATTACCTTCTTTGAGTCTTTTAGCAAGCTATTGTTCCTCATTATACTCGCTAATTTAACAAAAGCACCACTCCGCATTCTAATATAATTCACGTAACTATCACTAAAACCATTATAAATTCGATCTATATGCTCAATTCTAGCTCTCTCTCTTGTCTTTTTTCCCTTACTTGGACCACTACGAATTGATTTACGTCTTGCTTGCATTCTACTTATGACAGTTATAATTATAATTAAAATAGATAAGGTAGCACCTTGAACCATATTAACAACACTTTGTTCATCAGAACAATCACCATCATTATCCATCTACGATGAGAAAAATCAATTTTTTGTTAGAAACTAAGTCAAATTCTTACAAAATCTAAACAAATTACTAATTACTAATTACTAATATGGATTACTCCATATCTAAGCAACAAAAATTATAGTGATATAACAAATATTGCATATCTAAGCAACAAATATTATAGTAATAAAAAAATACTAATCCATTACAAATAATAATCAATATAACTTTCTTTAAATCATTAAGGACTACAAAAACAAAAGGTGAATTTCACAAAAAAAAGAATTAATAGATACAAACAGTTCGTACAAAATTGGCAATTACCAAAAACTATTTTTTTTCTCAAAATCTGCTAAATATAATTCTTTATTGCAAGAATAAATTCACAAAAAACAGGCAATTAATTGCATGAAGAATACTTCAAGAAGTCACATAGGAAACAATCTCTATTACAAGAACATAATGAAACTTAATTTAATGAGCTAGAATCATTATCTACTATATACAAAAATCAGTAGTATCCTACAAAAAATTTGGAAAAAAATTCTTAATTATTCCAACAATATATGTTTCTACATCCTACTAGATATAGTTATTTAATATTCATCTCATCTCAGATTTGGATATACCATACATCCAGTGATACAATATACTTTATATTAACTATTTCTTTACCCCTATAAGCATACTCAATTTTTAGGGTTAACAAATTGATAAAGTTACATATAATGTTTAATTCAGTCAAAAGGATAAGTCATAAATTTAAAGAAAGTATAAAAACGTAGGCAGTGATTATATATACATTACAAAATGTCTGCATACTATTAAACAACGCAAAAGTTCAGATCTGTTAAAAAAATTTGGTAAACACACACATATCCTCTATTATTAACAAAATATATGCATACATAAAATTTGATTGAGATCCTTAAACGCACACACACAAACATGTTGGCCTTTTTGTTTTGATGGTGTTTAACAAATAATTTACCACTAATGTTGTTTGTCTAGTATTTGTGTGTTCTTATTTATTATAGACAAACAACGTTGCTGGAGGATGGATGGAATAGAGCTTCACGATCATATCCAGTGGAGGTTGGCGAAATAGTGGAGTGAAGCCTTGCTATTCAAGTTGAAGATCCAAGTTCAAGCTTCATCCGCGAGATTACCAAGTTGAGCTACAATGAAGATCAAGATCATTGCTTGGGTAATCTAGTTTAGGATTTATATTATGTGTGTTAAGTACCTTAAGCTCAATATCATATACACACACGTATTTGGTTTCTATGTATATATATATAGTTATATATATACATGTATGGTTTTGGGTTTTCATGTTTACAAATATAAAATTACATATTTCATATTTATTACTGTGATTTGGTTTAACTACTTAGATATGAAACAAATATATTTTCATATACATACTCATATGTTTCATTTTCTATTGTATTTGTAAAAATATTGTATTCTTAGTTTTTAGACTTAACAATAATCATATACATATTTTATTAAGTCTACATAATCATTGTGCAAAGTTTTAAAATATGGTTTAGCCAAAATATCAAAATTCACATGTTTATATTTTTATGTTTTGGCCTATTTTGTAAAATAGTGATATTTTTCATTTGGGAAGTCCTTTTTGGAAACCAGTCGTTGTAGCATGTTTATTATCATATCTACAATCATTCCCCAAAGTTTTATATTTTTTGGAATATATTTGATATTTTTAAACAGTGTTTTAAAATCAGCATTTCACTTTCAAAACCTGTTTTCCTGAGTATCAGTTCGCGGTCGACCGCCATGAGTTCTGAACTTAGAATATGTTTTGTTGGTTCGCGGTCGACCGTACGTAGTCTAGAGACTTTTGCGGTCGACCGCCGTGGTCTGAATTAATGATTGTTTTCTAACGGCTAGTTTCCAGAGCCGTTGCTGAGTTGGTTTTTTTATCTTTTCTTGGTTTTCTCTTGGCTTTGGGGTTTCATATAAATACCCCCTTATACCTCAGTTCTTATGGTAATAAAAAAGAAGTTTTAAAACAAGTTTAAGAAAGGTTTAAACAAGGGTTTAAGGTTCTGTTTAAGTTTGTTTTCAGAAGCTTTTAAGCAAGTTGAGAGTTTGTTTTAAGAAATCAATTTCACAAGAGCTTGAGGAGATCATCTATTGGTGTTTGAGCATCCAACTCTTCTCCTTCCACTCTTGATCTATTGAGAAGTTTTCTAAACTCAATCTAGCTTTATATTTTATATATTGTTTGATTGTCATTTTATTAAGCTAGTGTTCATATTGAGTTTAGTCGATTTTATTATCTCTTTGTTCACACACAACCTATTGAGCTTATTGTATTTACATTCATAGTATAATTTGGGTTGTGGGATTGTATCATTGAGAGTGAAGAACCTAGGGAGAGGTTGTAACCGAGCACTTGAGGGAGACACATCTAGTTCAACACTTGAGAGGGTGTAGAGTGGGATTGCAAGAGTGGTGATTGTAAAGTTTTCGGTTAGCTAGAAAACCGAGTGTGAGGTGTAAACGTTATTCGGGTAAACGTAGAAAACCAGGTCGTGATAGTGGATTTCTCCCCGGGAGTGGGGAGCGGAGACGTAGGATGGAAGGTCCGAACTCCGTGATCATATTGTGTGTTTGTATTATTTATTTTGCACTATCACTTTTGTAGTTTGTTTATTTCACCCTTGTGTTAATTTGTATATCCTTGCATATATCCCATAGTATATCTCATTGCTAGGATATATCTCATTGTTCATATTGCTTATCCTAGCTCATATATCTTGTTGTATTTCATACTTGCTAGGATAGCTTATTAATTAGTTTTAATTGACATAAAATCGGATTAGATTAGCATAAGACCCTAATCACCCCCCTCTAGGGTCTAACAAAACACACATATCCCTCATTCAACTGCTTCCGCGGATCTTAAAACGTAATGCTATATGAGCATCACTACAAAATATTACTACTTAACAGTGAACAAGAGGGATAAGCCGAATTAAAAGAAAACCAACAGCTTTTTTTTTAAAAAGAAAGCATTTAAAATTTTTTGAAAAGTAAAAAAGAACCATATAGATGTATATTTTCCCCAAGAAATCAACAAGACTTCTGGACATTCCTTAAAATTGAAGACAAAAATAAATTACAATGATCTAATCCTACTTATAGCACGCACATAAATCTAAAATCTCCAAAAAATAATCAAATTCAACGTTCAGATCTGAATAGCGTCGACAAAGATCAAATACCCTTACCCTAATTACTCAGAAAATTGATCTAAATTAATTTAAAAATCCAAAAATAAAAGAAAAGAAATTTTACCTTGATGGAAGCAACAACGTCGGAAAGATCAGATCTGAATAACGTCGGCACAAGATCGGACCCCCCTCCCCAAATTTCTTCGAATTCAGGGGCAAAGAAGGCGGCAAGAGTTTCTGGCCGGAGGAGAGCAATGGGATAACTATAGCTCAAAAAAAAAAAAAAAAAATCAATGACGAAGCCAAAAATCCAACGTGGTGTTGGTTTTCGTCGATTTCACTCCGATGGGGAAGGAATTGGGGGAGAGGAAAAAAATCTAGATGGCTACGATTTCCGCAGTCGTTTCTCTCTTCAGCCCTAGCGAAACAAAGCTGGGAAATAAAAACTTGGGAATTGTTAAAACCAACGTGGAGGGGTTAAAAAACGACGTGGAGGGGTTTTATAAGTTTTCCACAGGTCATAATAGCGAACCAAACAGCCCCTAAACATACTCATAATATAAAATGAGTACGTGCGCACGTGCACTACTAGTATAATTAAAATATCACTCTCCCTAGGCCTATTGTTCAATCGTGTTCGATTGCTTTCGGGATATTTATCGGGTATAGATATATTAAAAATTATCCGGCGACCCGTTTCCCACTGGTACTTTGCGGTCCTCCAAACTTTTTGACGTTCTCATTTCTGGCTCTCATTTTTAAAATTTCGCAGGGCCCGCGAAGAGTTCCCCAATTCGTACTCGAATCTTAACCCTAGGTCGAGCTTCATGGATCGGGGCATGGTGGGCAAAGATTCCAGAGGTAAATTACTTCCTCCATCGTCTTTCTTCCTTTGCTCAACGTTTCGTACTGCAGTTCTTAGTTCGCGATTTTACCCCCGTCTTTAATTCGCAACCAATTTAATCTCCAGTATATTTTTTTTCAATAGGGTTGTCAATTGAATGAAACTCTTTAAATCTTGGTTTCGAAATTTCTGTCTAAATTGTGGATAGATTTGTTTCTGACATTTGTATCCGCCAAAGTTTCTTCTCCATTTTCTCTCATTACTGGACGATAATTCATCTCTCGTTTCTCTCCATCTGTAGGCTATGAGGCTCATCCTGTCTTAGGCATGGAATCTGTTGTTGCCACGGTGAGCGGTTACCACGGCACCGAGAAATTCAAACTCATCAAGCTTATTGCTCAAACTGGTGCCAACTATGTGGGAGCAATGGATAGGTTCACAACTCATCTGGTGTGTATCGCAATTCTCTGACCCGTAGCATCGAAATTTGATTTGTTCGGGGTTGCGGCTGACACATGAATTTCCCAACTGTATGCTTCGATGTTAGTCCAGGTTTGTTGGCGGTTTGAGGGAAGGAAATTTGATCTGGCGAGACGACTAGGAACATGTATAATCAGTCATCTCTGGTTCGAGGACTGTTTAAAGCAAGGGAAGCGCCTCCCGGAAGGCCCTTATACCATGCAGAGGTGTTCACACTGCACAAAATTGTTTTCTGTTTGATCATATGTGACTTAAACTAATGTCGCGCGCGGACATGTCTGCATGTGCTGAATGATTATGCCCATAAGGCTCTTTCTAGTCAATGAAACGACGTTAGTAATTGTGGTTGGCTTGGTGTAAGCATATAATCGCCTACTAGTTGCTATTCAAGCATCATATAAATTGATCACATCATCCAGCCGGTAGACCCTTGTGTTGTTTCGAACCATCTCTTAGGCTATCCAGGAATATTGATTAAAACATTTTCCAAATCAATGGAACCAATAAAATCCTCTTTTTTCCTTCTAAAAATATCCAATCATCTTAGTATGTAAAAATATCTTTGTTTCATGGTAGGACTCCTTGACGAAGGCCAAAATCTTTTCTCATAGATGGTCTTCCAGTGTTATCTCCCAAAACTTTAGTGTATGGATTCCACATTTTACAATTTAATGTTCTCATTTACTTTAGGACTAAAGTGCCTTCCCTTTATTCTTTGCAAATGTTGTTAATTACCTATTCACGTTCATAACAATATGTAACCAGTTGAACTACTGAAAGCCGCACCTTCATCATTCAAATGATTTCTTATAGAGCTTATATTCGACCTGTAGATGCCTTTTCAACTTCAAGAAGATGGTAAGACACTGATTAAATCCTGTGGCCTAAGGGTGATGCTTCATTTTCGTAATGACTACATGTTAATTTGAATCTAAACTCACCTTCCCTCCCCAGTCTTCTATAATTTTAGCGAGTGAGATGTGGATTAACATTATCATAACCATTCCAGTGACTCCCTCAGTCCCATATAGATTATGACATTGGCATAGTAGCAGTAATTTCTGATACATAAAAGAAAACATTTCTCTATTGTGTCCTGTACATATTGATAGTTGTGTATTTGTTCTCTCTTTGATCATTGCAGCGGGCAAGAAGCAGGGCCAATATCATGGGAGATGCCGTCTTCTTTAGACACTCGCCACAAGGAAAAAGCCCTTCTGAAAAAGAAAAGAAAAGCATTATCTGACAGGTCCAATGCTTCAGATTTTAGTGAAGAAGATAATAGTACAAGTTGCTTTGATATTTCATGCTCAGACTGGTCAGATTCTTCCCTATTAAAAGAGGTAGGCTCTGTGCTTAAGTATGTTTTTCATTTGCCATCGTTTATCTTCAGGTTCTTAACAGGCTCACTCATCAACATCAAGTAACAAAAGAAAATTTTGCAAGGTTTCTGGGTTTGGCTTAACTGCCGGACCTGCTCGTAGAAGACGCCACCTCATTAAGAAGGGTGCATCACACAATCCAATAGACTTAGTCATACTTGACTCTCACCTGGCAGAAAGACGCACCCCTCTTAAAGATAACAATTCTGCTTTTGTTGACTTAGAAGATGTGGGCAACATGTTTGTACGATCAGCACGAGAAGTAATCTCAGAATTTCCATCCCCTGTTTTTGAGGAAAGTAGAAGAGAAGCACGTGAACCAAATGAGAACACAGGCGAGCAGGACAATTTTAATATTTCAATAAACTCAAGTCCTTCTTTCCCTGGAACTTCACAGACCGATCATGGCCAATGTACTCGAGCAAAGGCTGATTTTTGTAATGTTGGAGATAATCAGAATGAACTATGTAATATAGATGATGAACAAGGTGAAGCAGCTGATGATGAACAAGGTGAAGCAGCTGACCAGGAATTAAATACAGGATTGTCCTGTGTGATATGCTGGACAGATTTTTCTTCAGTAAGGGGAGTTTTAGCATGTGGACACCGATTTTGTTACTCTTGCATCCAAGGATGGGCGGATTGTATGGTATGTAAGCATTTTATACTTTCTAATGTTTTCTTCAGCACCGAACACTTACAATGCATCAGCTTTCTTGATCGTGATGAGCTTTTCTTTCTTGAAAGCATGATTCTTCACTTTCACTGCATTCTATGTTATGATCATATTCTACATATTTGGAGATCGGTATCAAAGCACCTATTTGTCCGCTGTAGGTTGTAAAAGAAGTCCATCAGTAACATAGTTTGAACCAAAAATAGGCCGTAAAAAAAGTCCATTGTTCAACTAATCAGCAGCCTATCTGATCTTTCATTAATAAAAGGATGAGAAAAGTTAGCAGGCATCTTTGCACCTCATAATCAAGTGACTTATCATTGCCATGGTGACCTCTGCGTGGGCACCTGTAGAGTTTGCCTTGATGCAAATGGTGGTCCTGAATCTGCCAGATTCTTCCAAATCCATGAAATTCATGGTCTGTATTTCATTCAATTAGCTTTTGATGACATATTGAAGTGAATTGTGGGTTAACTATTAGTTCATTGAAACTTTCACTACGTAACCATACTGGAGTACTAATTAAAATTTTTATAGTTTTTACTATATCCTAGTGGAAAATGAACTGTCTATTTATTTCTGTTTAGTAGCACAAAGGAATTTCTGCTGGAACGCATGATGTACTTCATTTCAAAGGGGATGATAAAGCTAAATTTTCTTTTAAACTTCATTTGTCTTGTGGATGCTTGGCACATAAAAATCTTTCATCTTTGCATTTGTACATAGCTTAACTGTGGAAATGATTTCTAATTTGCTTTCAGGCCTCGAAAGGCAAAGTGTCAACATGTCCTCTTTGCAAAACCAGCTTCTCGCACATCACAAAATTTGAGGATACTGCCTCTTATGACCAAAAGATCTATTCACAAAGTATTCCCTGTGGCCTGCCCAACACAGACACTTACATGCTTTCCAGTAGCATATTTGACCATCATTGCACCTCGGTGAGCATTAATTTTTTGTTTCTTGGATATTGAAGTTTTTCAATGTTAAAATTGATGAATTTTTGGTTATCATATGATTTTAAAGCACGCAGAATCTGTTTGTTATGAGTGCCACAATCGTGATCCTGAAGATCTCCTTACCTGCTGCCATATCTGTCAAAACCAGTGGGTGCACTCTTGCTGTTTAGATCCTCCTTTGATTCCATGGACATGTGTTCGCTGCTCAGATCTCCGCTCCTTGTATCAGCGTTTCCATTGAATTAGACCTTCTTCAGGTATTTGTCGCTTTGTCTGTATCAATGTAATGTTTTGAGTTCTTTTGACGTTAAACTCTTATGTTTTCAATGTTACTGATTACAAATTTGTTTAAACAAGGGCATGATGAAGTTCTTTAACCATCAACCTGCTTGACCTTAAATTGCGTCTATGACATGACATGATATAAAATGACATGAAAAACTTGATCACGCTTCATTTATCTCCCAGTTTCCTAGCAATTAGTTCCATATTAATTGGTACTCCCTTCAAACTCTTTCTGAGAAAAAGTGCTTAAAAAAAGATCATATATTTCAGCTGGTTTTATCCATAACAGGAATGACTACATAGTTGGTCATTATACATGAAGATGAAGAAAACTTGAGCAATTAAGAAAAAGTGGACTGTGATTGTCCTTTCTTTAGATGACCTTAATTTTGGCTGACTTGTAAGAATAGAACAACAAACAACAATGCAGGAGATTCATATTGAGACATATTTGTTGCTTTAGCCAATGAAGACATCAAAAAAACATGCTCAGTTATGGCTCATTTTGTTGTTCTGAGCATTTAAGACGTTAATGTCTCAAGGTGGGATGCTGTATGATAGCTGAATTGCCTATTGAAAAGATGAGAACAGGATCTGAACCTGTGATAGTTTTGGTGTGCGACATGTTACTTTGTTCTATTAAACATTGTGTAACTGTCTGTTAGTCAACAGTTGAGGCTGGCACTTTCGGTGGCCTCCGTTGTTGACATCAAGAGAGAGGGGAGAGGTTGTCTCTTTCGTTGAGGCTAGCCAAAATTGTTGACAAGTGCCAGAGCACTCTTGTTGACATTGGGGAGCTAGAGCCGCAATTACGGCTGATGAGGAAGAGAGGGGGGCTTTTATAGGCTTCAATCCCTTCAATTTGTCAACAACGACAAGCTCCCCGTCTTTCTTATCAGCCATAATTGCGGCTCTAGCTCCCCAATGTCAACAAGAGTGCTCTGACACTTGTCAACAATTTTGACTAGCCTCAACGAAAGAGACAACCTCTCCTCTCTCTCTTGATGTCAACAACGGAGGCCACCGAAAGTGCCAGCCTCAATTGTTGACTAACAATCTCCACCTCGGTGAAGTTTTTCCAAAACTGAGCCGACACCAATAACTAGTGAGTCTTCACCCATCTTGCAAACAATGCCCCAAAAGGGGCCACTTGACAAGTACGAATGCCTCCCAAATTCAAGCAGTGCTTGAACTTGAAGGTCGGGATGGGTTTGGTCAACATGTCAGCTGGATTGTCTGCAGTACCAATCTTCTTCATCGTGATATTCCTTTCAGTAGTTGCCTCACGAATGAAATGATATCTGACATCAATATGTTTTGTCCTCTCATGATGTGCTAGACAATCCAGCTGAGTTTTTGCTTAGATGTATTACGCTCTGATACCAGTTTCTGACTAGCAGACCATCAGCCTGCCTATCGGGACATCTCCTTCTTCTCGTTCTCACTTGTAGGTGAATCTGAAGCCGAGAGTCTAAAGTGAGGAGCCAAAGGAGTCGTAACATGCTTAGCCTTCTTCATCCCAAAACGTTCAAGTACCTTTTCAATATAGCTCTCATTGTGTTATGTTCCTTGCCTGACTCTTATGAAAACTTTGTTAACTCTATGTTGTATGGAAGAGAATCCATAAGTCTTGAGGATGTGAAAGCCTCTTTAAACTCTGCTGAGTTGAGAACAAAGTTGAATGAGAGAGGTACCAATAGGCAGGCTGATGGTCTGCTAGCCAGAAACTGGTATCAGAGCGCAATACATCTAAGCAAAACGGGGTGGCAGAACGCATGAATAGAACGTTGATGGAGAGAGCTAGGTGTATGCTCTCAAACTCTGGCTTGGATAAAGGCTTCTGGGCTGAAGCTGTTAACACAACTTGTTACTTGGTGAATCGGTCTCCTTCTACAGCCATTGAACACAAGACTCCAAATGAGGTATGGTCAGGTAAACCAAATGACTATTCAAATTTAAAGGTATTTGGATGTCCTGCTTACTATCATGTTAGAGAGGGTAAGCTTGAGCCTAGAGCTAAGAAATGCATATTTATTGGTTATGCTGATGGTGTTAAAGGCTATCGTTTGTGGAGTCTTGAACCTGATTCTCCTAAATTCATTATTAGTAGAGATGTTACTTTTAATGAAAGATATATGCTTGATCGTGGGAAGGTTTCTATTGAGTCTACAGGAAATGTAGAGAAGACCATGAATAAGGTGGAGCTTCAGGTGGAGCTCGAGGGAGAGACGTCTCAAAAGTCGTCTATAAAATTTGCTCCTACAACTATAGAAGAACAACATGATTCAGGCTCAGATGCTGATGATGTTGAGACTGAAGAACCTTATTCCATAGCCACTGGCAGAGAGAGGAGACAGATCAAACCTCCTCAAAGATATGCACATGTTGAATTAGTGGTATATGCTCTCACGACAGCTGAAGAGATGAGTATTCAAGAGCCATCAAACTTTACTGAAGCTGTCTCATGCGGAGAATCTGAACGTTGGGCCACAGCTATGATAAAAGAACTCGAGTCACTCTACAAGAATCAGACTTGGGATTTGGTGCAATTACCTAAGGGTAAAAGGGCAATTGGATGCAAGTGGATTTTCAAGAAGAAAGAAGGGATCCCAGGGGTTGAAGATGCTAGATTCAAAGCACGGTTGATGGCTAAGGGTTATAGACAAAAGGAGTGAATTGATTATGATGAAGTGTTCTCTCCGGTTGTAAAGCATACCTCCATCCGTGTATTGCTTGCCATGGTTGCTCTATTTGATCTGGAGCTTGAGCAGCTTGATGTGAAGACTGCATTTTTGCATGGCGAACTTGAGGAGACTATCTATATGTCTCAGCCAGAGGGATACTTTGTAGAAGGTAAAGAAGATCAAGTTTGCAGATTGAAGAAATCTTTATACGGCCTGAAGCAATCTCCCAGACAGTGGTACAAGAGGTTTGATAATTTTATGCTTAGTCATGGGTACTCAAGAAGTACTTATGATAGTTGTGTGTACTACATGCATCTAGGAGATGATTCTTTTATTTATCTTCTATTATATATCGATGACATGCTTATTGCTGCTAAGAACATGTCGCAGATTCTATGTCACAGATTCTTATTTTAAAGAAACAACTCAATGATGAGTTTGAGATGAAAGATCTTGGTGCAGCAAAGAAGATCTTAGGTATGGAGATCAGGAGGGACAGGAAAGTTGGAACATTATATCTCTCACAGAAGAGCTATATTGAAAAGGTACTTGAATGCTTTGGGATGAAGAAGGCCAAGCCTGTTACGACTCCTTTGGCTCCTCACTTTAGACTCTCGGCTTCAGATTCACCTACAAGTGAGAACGAGAAGAAGGAGATGTCCCGAGTTCCATACTCTAATGCAGTGGGTAGCATTATGTATGCTATGATTTGCACTCGTCCAGACATTGCCCAGGCAGTCAGTGTTGTGAGTAGATACATGGCTCAACCAGGGAAGGCACACTGGGAAGCAGTGAAGTGGATCCTACGGTATCTCAAGGGTACCTCAGATTTGGGTTTAGTTTTTGATAGCAGTACTTTGGGAACCTCAATTGTAGGTTTTGTGGATTCTGACTATGCAGGTGATCTCGATAAAAAGAGATCTTTGACTGGTTATCTTTTTACTTTCTGGCTCAGCTATTAGTTGGAGATCGACTCTACAGTCGACAATTGCTTTGTCTACTACAGAGGCAGAATATATGGCAGCAACAGAAGCGGTAAAAGAGGCCATTTGGTTGAGAAATCTTGTGATTGAGCTTGGACTACAGCAGGAGGCTAGTTCAGCTGTATTTTGTGACAATCAGAGCGCAATACATCTAAGCAAAAACTCAACATATCATGAGAGGACAAAACATATTGATGTCAGATATCATTTCATTCGTGAGGCAACTACTGAAAGGAATATCACGATGAAGAAGATTGGTACTGCAGACAATCCAGCTGACATGTTGACCAAACCCATCCCGACCTTCAAGTTCAAGCACTGCTTGAATTTGGGAGGTATTCGTACTTGTTAAGTGGCCCCTTTTGGGGCATTGTTTGCAAGATGGGTGAAGACTCACTAGTTATTGGTGTCGGCTCAGTTTTGAAAAAACTTCACCGAGGTGGAGATTGTTAGTCAACAATTGAGGCTGGCACTTTCGGTGGCCTCCGTTGTTGACATCAAGAGAGAGGGGAGAGGTTGTCTCTTTCGTTGAGGCTAGCCAAAATTGTTGACAAGTGCCAGAGCACTCTTGTTGACATTGGGGAGCTAGAGTCGCAATTACGGCTGATGAGGGAGACGGGGAGCTTGTCGTTGTTGACAAATTGAAGGGATTGAAGCCTATAAAAGCCCCTCTCTCTTCCTCGGTTGAATGCACTCAAAAACTCTAAGAAATCCAGCAGAGAGTGATTGAGAGAAAAAGAGAGAGAAAGCCACAAAACGAAATCTGTGAGCTCTCAATATTTTGTATGAGTGTTGTATGTTGAGATTGAATATAGTGATACACCCTCTTGCCGTGGACGTAGATCAATTTGATCGAACCACGTAAATATTGTGTTTGTGAGTGTCTCTCTATTCTCTGGTTTAGTGGGTAATTTCCCCAACACTGTCATAGATAGTATTTTATGGCACTGCCACCACGGCTGCGTGGATGATTTATGCTACAACCCCTAGAAGGCTAACCGACTATCATCATCCTTCTGCTTATTTTTAATCCTTTTGACCATAGGGACTAGGGAGCATCTAAAGATTTGCTTGTCTAAAGGAGGAAATTGGCAAACATGTTGGAGATTTATTGTGGATTAGGGAGCAAGAGGAAGCATGAGCAAATCGCCAACTGATGAAATGATATTCACATATTGACCTCAATCTAGGCTATTTAGCTCATAGAAATCTCCATTTCAGTTGCTCATTTTGCAAAAGGAGAGAGCATCATACATGATCACCTTGAGGATGACATAGATGCAAAATGAATAGAGCCCATACAGTGAGTTTGGCCATTTCAGCCTTCATTAGTCTGCCAACCAGATACGGGGAAAAACAGAAGAAAACAAGTCATTACGGTGCTTGGTAATGATGTCCTGAAGTCAATACTCCTTGAGTTGATATCGT